TTTCATGAATTATTCCTTCTTTTCCGCAGTAATTATTAAAAGAAAAATACTCTCCACCCCTATTTGATCTTACTCTTTTGATCTTTTTATTTAATTGATTTTCTACTTCAGCCTTATATAATAAGATCATATCAAAGGCCTCATCTTTATTTCTAAGTAAATATACTTTGATGTATCTAGAAAAGTCATCTATAAAAGTTATATGATATTGTTTACCACCTCTAGTCATAGTTTGTTTTAAATTCCCTAAATCAGTGTTAACAAGACTAAGCAGCCCAGTTTCCCTATTTACAGAAGGATGTGATTTCTTAGTCAATTTTTATTCAACACAGATTTCAAATTTATTGATACATGAATTACTTAAGCAGGAAATTAAACCAACATGTTGCACTTTCTTAACATAAGGAAAATTCACATGTCCTAGTCTAGCATGCCATAAATCAAAGGAACCAATCAAATAAGTAGAAGAAGCAGCATTTTCATTCATAATTTCAGAAATATTAAGCACAAAGAGTCCCTGATTACAATACCCTTTGCCCACAAAAACATTTTCTTAGTCATTACAATCTTATCAGATTCAAATGACACCTTAACCCCAACTTTTTCTAATAGAGACACAGAAAACAAATTTGTTCTAATTTTAGGCACATGAAGGATTTCATTGAGAGCAAGGATCTTGCTAGATGTTAGTTTAAGAAGAACCTTTCCTTTACCAAGAACATTAGCTGTTCGAGAATCACCAAGATATACATGTTCTTCTCCTTCCCCTACAAAAGTGTAGGAGGTGAAAGCATCTCTATTAGCACAGATGTGCCTAGTAGCACTAGAGTCTATCACCCATTCTTTCACATTAGCCACTAGACTAATTTGAGAAATGACAGTAGTAATTATGTCATCCCCTTCCACCAAGTTTGCTTTTGGCTTATGATGAACGTCATTTTTCACTCTCTTATTACACTAATGTGCATAATGACCTAACTTTCCACACACAAAATAATTTTCCTTCTTTTTGAAGGTAGGGTTAGTAGCTCTAGAGATATAATCAGTTATCGTGACATGCCTTTTCTGTTGCCTTTTGTCTTCCATCAAGTTTTCTTTTGTAGTGATCTCCTTTGCTTTAGCAGCTCTGAGTTCCTTTCTGTTGGTGTCCTCTATGATGATATGGGTGATCAGATTAGCCAGAGACAGTTGCTTATGTTTGTGCTTCAACTGCTGTTTGTAGTCGTTCCATGAGTTTGGTGGTACGTGCACCGGCTAATGCTTGTGCAGCAAGATTATACCGCAAGTATTACGGGTCATACAAGTAGTATATAAAATATCGTATCTACAAGGATTTGAAGGATTGAGTACAATAATCTTTTGAATACTTAATTATCAGGCAGAACCAATAAAAGGGGTGAGTTATGTGTAAATTAAAAATAATAAAATGACAGAAAATTAAATAGTAGAAAATAAGTGACTGGAAATTAAATAAAGTAAAAGTGTGTAAAAGTAAAGTGCGGAAAAGTAAAAGTGCGATAAAGTAAATTGCAAAAATTTAAAGTGCAGTAAAGTAAAAAGCAGAAACTAAAAGAATTAAATAATATAAAATAAAAGTTAGTAGTTAGTAGTTAGAGGTTAGCAATTAGAATTTAGAAGTTAGAGATATATATATTTTCTTTTTGAATTTATAAATGAGAAATTATTCTGGTGATGGATTGATCCATTACCATGGATGCATCCATTACCGCATCCGGAGTGGCACATCTAAAGTAAGCACAAAGTGATAATATTTTCTGAAGGGCGAGTGTTCTAGTTAAGTTTATCTCTTCTTTTGAAGGTAGTCAAGACTAAAAATCATTATGACGCCTTTCGTACATATGCAATATGTAAATAAAGCCTTCCATGTAATAAGCTTCCCCCTTTTAACACTAGATTTATTGTATTTCTAGGTACAAAACCAATGCTCAATTTATGTGGTTTAGGCGCTTGAACTTCATCATTTGATCCTTCGCTCGCCTACCTAATGTCAAGTAAATAAAGGGATCCGACTTTATTTTACAAGCGTTTGTCTTGCATCAATTGAACTAGAAATCTATATCACATTATAGATGATTCAATTTTTAATAAAGCCACCCCGCATTTTAGAGGTAATAGATATTAATCCATTCTTAGAATGGCTGGTTTACTCACTCATTTTAGATAAAACAATGTAAACAACTAAGTAGTAATCCATATCTTTTATTGAGAGAAAAAGAACAGAGTTACAGAAAGGTTGTCTTTTATAAAAGCAAAACAAAGAACAAAATGATAACATATAATAACAGAGGAGAATGATGGATGGAGAATGATGGATCAGGTATGGCTTTGTTAAGTCTAAGACTCTGTGCACGACCTTCCTCTCCTGACCTCTGAGATTATGAACACAAAACTACGCTAAATATTCTAAATATTTACAGAGTGATATACTATATTCTAATTTTCCAGCCTAGCTAACCAGCCCTTTTCTCTATTGATGTATACTGTTATTTATAGAACTCAGATGCTTGACGGCTACTCTTCTTTGTGCAATTTGGTAAATGGAGCAAGTGGGGTGCGTTCAATCAGATTACATCTAAGCATGCGCTGTCATTCAATGAATGGAGACTTTTAACCTTGGAATTAGTGTAGGCGCTCACTCGATTTGTCTTTGGCACATATGAGATTGCCTAACACCTATATGTGACTGCTTGGAGTAGTGTCCATCCATAGGAGGTCGCCTGGTGCATGTAGGAGATCGTCTGGATGTTGTTTTGGCCTTAGGAGATCGCTTGGATGGTGTTTTGACCATAAGAGATCGCCTGGATGGTGTTTTGGCCATAGGAGATTGCCTGGATTGTATTATGGCCTTAGGAGATCGCCTGGAGATCGCCTGGATGGTGTTTTGGCCATAAGAGATCGCCTAGAGGGTGAGTTGCACATAAGAGATCGCCTAGTGCACTTAGATGGTCTCCTAGCCTCTCTTCCTTGGCTTAGGTGATAGCCTAAGTTCCTTTTTGTCTTTTATTTCCATGTCTTAGGCGATAGCCTAAGTTTACATCTTGTTGGACTTTGGCTTTTCCCCTTCTGGCTCAGTTTATGAGCTTCTTTTCTCCGCAGATTAACCTCAATTTGGATTTGAGAAATGGGCTTGTAATATTAGCTCTCAAATTAGGCTTTTTTTCGAGTCCATTTGCCAATACTTCTGCAGATTTTATAAAGAATACATCTTTTCTAAATTTCGAGGTTCCTCCCTATATAAAACTATAATTCTACAAAATTTCTAAGGTAAGTGCAAAAATATAGCCATTATATTAGTTAATTCAGGGCGATTTTGGTGTACAAATATATAAGTTTTTGCATCGTATTAAATCCCCCCCCCCCCCCCCCATGCTTAAAATGTTCTTGTTCCTCAAGCAATTAAGCTCTATTCTTCTTTTTCTTTAAATCCTGCAAATTAAATATTTCCCCCCCCCCCCCATGCTTAAAATGTTGCTTGTCCTCAAGCAATTAAGCTCTATTCTTCTTTTTCTTTAAATCCTGCAAATTAAATATTTAATTCAAGGACTCAATCTGTTAAGGTCAATTTTTAAGAAGAATAAAAATTCGTCTAGTAATCAAGTCCTTTGTGTTGATATTTATATATATTTGTAGAAAATACAAAGAATGGCCAAAACAAGTAGTTAGTTCATAGGAATATGTTTTTAAGTGAAAAGCTCCTTTTAGATTTCATAAGCCTATCCTTAAGAACTCTTCTCTATCAATTAAGAATTTGTGCATCCTTTAGAATCAACTGGTCTTTTCCAAGGTTATAATGGTGCTTTGAAAAATTGAGTTCATAAAAAAAAGATTTATTTTAAGCTCAAGTAATATGTGATTGATATTTCCTGTTAAAAATATTTTTAACAATTCTTCTTTCCTTTTCAATCACATTTTCTTATTTTTCCTCTTCAATATTAATTTTCTAGGAAATTTTTTCCCTTTTTCTTATTCCCTTATTGTTTCTTGGGAATTTTGAATTTTTCTTTTTTCTTTCTCTTCTTTTTCTTTCTTTCTTTTTCTTTGAATTTCCCTTTGGTTTAAGATTTCTTTCAAGGAATCAATTTTCTTTCTCAAAAATCTTGAATTCCTGTCTTTTTTATTTTAACTAGAAAATATAATTCACATAAGAAGGATAGATAAAAACTTTTAGGCTTGGTGACTTATATTTTTTGAGTTTTCTCAAGAAAAGAATTCGGATTTCTAAGGCTCAAAGGGGGCTTATCAAGGGTTTAATGTTCAAAAGGTAGGAGAAATTCTATCGGTCCTTGATGTAGTTTATTCAAAGAATGCCTAAATCATTTTTTAGGGATACACTAAATTCTTTTCTATTTCGCCTCAAAGAGTTATAAAAGAAGGTTCTAGAATCTAAATGAGTGAATATTTTTCTACTAGCGAATTGACTTATTACGACCAATCTTTTAGAATAAACCACAAGAAATATGATATATAATCAATATTTTTGAAGTTAATTACTGAAAGAAAATTTATTTCTTCTTTAGAGATAGAAAATAAATTTTGAGTTCTATCCTTAAAATAATTAATTAACTTGATTTATTGAAAAAAAGAATTTTTCATAATATTTTTGAGGAAAAGTAATAAATATTAAGAGAAAAATTTTTTTGAAAAAGTTTTAAAATTTTTGAATAATTTTTATGATTCTGAAACGACTCGAAAATCATTTTCAAAAATTTTTCATTTAAAAATCTAAATACAAATTCTAACCAAATATATTATAGGATATTTTTACAATTAAAAAATAGTTTTTTGAATTATTTAAATAAATTCTAATAATAAATACCTTAATTGCTTGATCAAACCCATGAATTAGATTAAACCATTGGAGAAAGAATTGAAAACCACACAAAAAAACCGTGATTTGGACCGAACCAACCCGAATCAAACCAAACCTTCTAGCAACCCTCCCCCTATCCCATATTTCAGCGCCGACCTCACCCTCCCCCTCCCCTCCTCCCATTTTTCCAATCACCAGAGACAAGCGCCGCGCCTCGCCTCGCCTCGCCGTCGCCTCCTCGCCGCAACGGATTTTGGCCTCCCTTCTCTCCTCTCTTTCGTCTCTGGCGTATGCAGAAGGCGCAGGAGAGCCGCGACATCCTTAGATCGAAAAATCACGTCAAGGCTCCTGCTCCTCGACTTTCCGGGGACGTCGGCTCCTCTCTCGTCGACGAAGAAGCTCCGGTCTCTCCTTCACTCATTCCTTCCCGTTTCGACTGGCGCAGCGAACCAAGAAGCTGCGATCCCAGCTCGCAGTAGGTACGCAGTCGCGTTATCTGCTTTCCTCTTCGATTTTCTGGCAAGACCCGCCACCAGCCGGTGGAACTAGCTCCTCCCTCGCTGTCATCTCTTTACCGCACGTCACTGTTCTTTCCTCCGGCCAAATTAGGACGGCAGAACCGGACCTTGATCATTGGAGCTGTTCCCGGTAACTTTTACCGGAAATATTCAGTTTTCCGACATTTTCGCAACTGAGTAAGTAATTTCCTGCTCCATTCTTCGTGTTTTATGAATTATTTCGACTAAATTGAAGTAATTTCCTGCTCCATTCTTCGTGTTTTATGAATTATTTCGACTAAATTGAAGGATTTGAGCCTGTATTATGTTTTCTGTGAAGAGGTTAGATTTAAAAGTACTGTTTATGTGAATTATTATGGGAGAATTTGATATTATCCTCTAATTGAAACATGAACTGAAATTACAGATAAGGAATAAAGGGTTTATTTAGTTATTGCAATTTTTAGTAAGGAAATCAAGGATTTCTCGATAGGGCAGCATCTAACCTGGCTATTTGTACGAGTTATATTATAATATGAAGAAAATGGTACTGTACAAAATATCTATAATGAGGAATCAATTGATTAATATGTGGAACGTGAGTTTTTGTGAGGATTTGAGAATTCCTACAAACTGGCAGTATATAAGATAGCAGTTCAACCATGAACTAGGAAAAACTTTTTGTTATTGTTTCATTGTTCTGTTGATTTACATGTCTTAGTAGAATCAGTGATAGAATTGGATGATGTTTAAGTTGCAAATCCTCCCTTTTGAGACGATGAACGAATTTCAGCATAAATTGAAGTTTTTTGTGGGAAACTTGAAGGATTTATGGAATAGTAGTGGCCACATGTCACACTTGCATGAGTTTTGGCAATAATGAGATGGCAAAGGATGTAGTATGTCTATTTCATGATGAATAATGGATAAATAACATCTAGACTATGAATTTAATCTAGAAATTTGATTCTCCCTTCAAATGGCAGAAAAGTGATTGTGATTGGGAGAGAAGTAATTGAAATTCACTCATCCATCTTCATTCTTACGTATATTATCTTATATTGGTAGTAATTTCTTAGATTTAAAAATATTTAGAATTCTAAACCTGCACCTTACTAGTTATTGAAAGGATTGTTATGCTATTGCAAGGCTTGATGAAGGTTCATGTTTATTTTGCAATGGCAGCAAGCTTATAATAAGTCAAATAGGAAGTATGAAAACTTCTTAATCATGCAAAAAAGAGTAGTTGATTTAGTTTAAGTTTCAAAGAATTTACTTGGGATTTGATAGTTATGTTTTTATATAAAGTAAATATGATGTTATTTAGAATATGAATTAAGCTTATGTAAGTTGTTATGGATGTTAAATGGCGATATTGTTATTTAAAGGAGGACGAGTATTCGATTTGATTGATTGCTTAACGGATGGGCTGTGTGTATTGATTGATAAATATATAATAATATTGTGATATTTAAACAAGTAGACAGTCCTATTTTTAGGGGAGGTGCTGTTGAAATTTTGATAGAATCTTTGAAATTTTGATAGAATTTAGCCTCGTAATGTTTAATAAATTAAGTATCATGATTATCACCAAGTTTGATATAGGGATTAAATAAGAACAGGAGTATAGAATTGATAGGAGCTTTTCATATCTTGTGTATTGATTGATAAATATATAATAATATTGTGATATTTAAACAAGTAGACAGTCCTATTTTTAGGGGAGGTGCTGTTGAAATTTTGATAGAATTTAGCCTCGTAATGTTTAATAATTAAGTATCATGATTATCACCAAGTTTGATATAGGGATTAAATAAGAACAGGATATAGAATTGATAGGAGCTTTTCATATCTGAAAGTCCATCGTATTACTGTTTTCTTTCTTGTATCAAGAGTATTCTTTTTTTAATTTCTAACCTTTTGTTTTATTATCTGTTTTTTTTTTAATTTATCAATTATTTTTGTCCATGGGAAGTCTTTAATAAGAAAAGAAACTTTAAGATATATAACAAGCAAAGTATCGAATTGAAAGGAGAAACAAAATGATAATATTGGTGAAAAAAATTTACATGTTGAAACACAGATAATATTAATTTTTAATTGCTGTAACACTTAAATTGGAGGTTTTCTAAATTGTTTCTTTCTACACCTTTTTCTGTAATCCCATTTAAAGTTTTGTTAGTGTCATTCTTTATACTATTCTACATGACTAATTATGTACTTTGGTTGTAAAATAGTTATTTGCTATTGAAGACCAATATGTTGACTGACCAAAAGTCATCAGGTCAATTCTTAATGATTTAATTTTTTTTTTTTTTCAGGCTACAACCTATAAAACAGGGTCAGGTTTAAATTACATGTTTTCTTTTTTTCTCATGTAGATTGGGCCTCAAGCTGCAGAATTAAGATTTCCTAGTAGACGCTTTTCATACTGAATTTATGCCTGAATCTATACCTGCTAAAAACCCTAAACCCTTGTTGCCGGTTCAAATAAAAAACGAACTCAAAGCCCAAAAACAAAAGCGGAGGCGCAGAAGAAGAGAATGATAATATCTAGAAACCTCTCTGCATCAAAATCCAAACTTAAACATCTCCTTTCCCTCTCCCTGTTTGCTCAATCTTTGACAAGCCCTTCACTTTCTCATCTCTCAACTATCCAATTGTATCGGTATCCATTAACCTCTTCTTCTTCGTTTTCATTCTCCAATTTCTCTTCAAAACCGACCAATTCAAACCCACCATCAAAACAAAAACCCTCTTCTTCTCTTTTGCCCCTCACCCGCGATGGAAATTACGACGATGCTACTCCTCCGGCCACTGTTTGCCCCGGTTGTGGGATCCATATGCAGGACTCAAATCCTAAACATCCTGGTTTCTTCACCAGGCCATCAGTCAAAGAACTAAATTGTAAATCTGGTTCCCATCTTGCTCCTGTTGCATTAGAGTATGAATTTTCAAGTTCCTTGAAACGGGGTGTTGTAATTGACCCTGAAAATTCTGTCTCTAGTTTGACCCAAAATTCAGCTATGGAGAAACCAATTGTGTGTGCACGGTGTCATTCATTGAGATACTATGGGAAAGTGAAGGATCCAGCGGTGGAGAATCTGTTGCCAGAATTTGACTTTGATCATACTGTAGGTAAGCGTTTGATTTCGGCCACTGGAGCTCGTTCAGTGGTTCTTTTGGTTGTTGATGCGGTAGATTTTGACGGGTCTTTTCCAAAAAAGGTAGCCAAGTTGGTATCAGAAGCAATTGAGGAGAATTTCACTGCATGGAAAGAGGGGAAATCAGGAAATGTGCCTAGAATAGTACTTGTAGTGACTAAGATTGACTTGTTGCCTACTTCTTTGTCGCCTACTAGATTCGAGCACTGGGTAAGACAAAGAGCGAGAGAAGGTGGAGCTAGTGTTATTAAGAAAGTGCATTTTGTGAGTGCATTTAAAGACTGGGGAATGAAAGATTTGGTTGAGGATGTGATTACGTTAGCAGGGCCTAGAGGGAATGTGTGGGCTGTAGGGATGCAAAATGCGGGGAAAAGTACATTGATAAATGCAATGGGGAAGTGGACTGGTGGAGGTGAAGGGAAGTTAACTCATTTGACGGAGGCACCTGTTCCCGGTACCACATTAGGGATTGTTCGTGTGGAAGGTTTTCTTCCAGGGCAGGCGAAGTTATTTGACACACCAGGGCTTTTGAATCCTCATCAGATTACTACACGGCTAACTAGAGATGAGCAAAAGCTTGTTCACATCAGTAAAGAGTTGAAACCAAGGACATATAGAATCAAGGTTTGTTTGCTAGAATTATAATCTTGCGGCAAAATAGAAAACAATTTGAAAATATTTTGGCATGCTTAAGATATATGAAAACATTATTTGTTTATTTATTATTTTGTACTAATGTGTATTTAGTCTTTAGTTTGAAGAACACCATTGTGAGCTCAATTTATTTCTTTACATTTCAAGAGCAATGTTATAATTGAGTGTTAGGATCTAAGATATAGCTATGTTATTGTTGAGTTTATAGTTTAAAGTCAAATATGTTGGTTGTTTACATTTGACATTAGAAGAACTTAAAGAAACTTTCAAATCTTAGATATCATTTTGTTTTTATGATCCTGACAATTTGATAATAAACAGAACTACCCCCACTATTTCCACTCGTCCCTTTAATTTCTCTCTCTCTCTCTTTCTCTCACGCACACCCTTAATATAATCTTAAAGTAAGTGTGGGATTCTATAGATTGCACAAGTAACTATAGCAGGGTACATTGAGGTTACCTTTAGCCATTTTTGGTGGTGTTTTGTGCAAGAAAGCTCAAAAGAAAAAGACAGAAAATGTTAAATTTGGTGATTCTAGACTCAATAATGCCAATTTCTTGATGAATGAGAAAAGGCAAAAAGTCGATACATTTTTGCCCTGTATGTTACAAAATCTTCTTTTCCTGCTTACTGTGTGAACTCATTTAGTTAGTATTTTCCTAGAGTTAAATGATATGATAATTGATGCATTTTTGTGCCAATTCAAGTTTATGTGGATGGGTTGAAGAGAAATAAATATCTAAAATAGGCATTTAATGCCTATATTTTGTGTTCTACTAACCAAATTTCTTGCTTGGGGAGGTAAAGATAGTTTGTTTTGCAGCTGTATGTTGATAATTTTGTATGATGGTCCCTCTTCTTGCTAAAAGAAGAGATTCTATTTTGTCATAGCTTATTGAGGCATTGATTAAGCTGTCACGAATAACTTAATTCATTGTCAAGTTTCACTAAATTGAAAAAAAAAATGTTGGTATGTCATAAAATCAGTGTTATCCTGATCTTATTAATAGAAGGGGAAGAAGATAATAATTAACAAATGGCTGCCTTCATTTATGTACAGTGGTTGTGATTCCTGATCTACAGATGATCTTGCAAACTAGTGTACTCTTCCCTCTTTAGCATGCTTATCGTGTATATTTATGGACCTAGGAATACAGTGGTTGTGATCATGAATTGAAAATTTTTTATCTAAAGAATATCGATTTTAATTCTTTGTTTTGTAGTTCACCAAAAGATTGTCTCAAAAATGGATCTTCTTTGAGAAAAGTAATGGGTTGCTTCTATCATGAATTGATTGTTATGTTTTAAGTTTCCTATATCAGTTTGGTAATGACTTTCTGTGATTTGGAGATTATATGAGAAAGGGCATTTTTCATTAGGATTTAGGTTTTGATACTCAAACACTTCTGTATCATGTTTCTGATTCAACATTATACTGGAGCACATGGGCAATGCAATCTGCCACTAACCTAAAACCATTTATGAAGAAATTTCTCATGCTAACAGAATTTACAGTTATTTTCTTAATAATGAGATTGCATCCTTTATATTATTTTTGCCACATGAGATTCCGGCTAAAATGAGAGAATTTTCTGATGAATTGATTGGAGTTTTGTAAGTATTATGACTCACCTTGCATTTTGTTTTGATAGGAAGGTCATTCAGTTCATATTGGCGGGCTCATAAGGTTGGACATTGAAGAATTATCAGCAGATTCTGTATATGTCACAGTATGGGCATCTCCGTATCTTCCATTACATATGGGGAAAGCAGAAAAGGGAAGCACTATGGTAGAAGACCATTTTGGTCGTCAATTACAGGTGATATCTTACATTAGTTAATAACTGGTATTGTTGGTTTTCTCTTTTGCTTTTTCATTATTAGTAGCCTCATTCATCCTATGTAAATGATGTTGGAGAACTTTGCGGCCGACACTGCATATAGAAATTTATGCAGTAAATAAGAGCTATGAGCTAGAGATAGCAAAAAAAGTTCAAGGTCAAAGTCAAATCCAAAGTAGGAAATTTGATTACTCTAAAAAATAAAAATTTTGAGCAAAAGTAATCACCCATGTCATTCTTTCCTCTCTATCCTTCCACCTATCTTTTTCTTTGCATCCTCTTCCTTTGGCTCTATCTCTTTCTTTTCCCAATTCTCTCTTTCATCTCAAACCTAATTTTTTGTTTGACTTTGGAAATGGAATTATCTCTTCAATTTTTTTAAAAGCGAAGTCTAGGAATGCATATTTTGTAAATAAAATAAATAAGTAAAAGTATTTTAGGAATAATCAATTTTGAATTTAATTATAGATTTATTGAAGCACATGTCATGTGAAATTCAATTTCATTTTAAGTTGTACATTTGCAAACATGGAAACTGATTTATAAAATATATTTTTCATTTGTGATTAACTCGGAATGTGTAACTAATAGGTACACTAAATGGATATACACTTCCCGTTTGAATTTGTTTTGATTTGAGCTACTGCAAGGGAATTCTCTCTATATATATATGGAAAAGTTGGCCAAGATAATCTAATTACATAAACATTTCTTGCTCAATCCTAAACTTTTGGAGGTCTCAAGCATGTAGGCAGTAACCAGTTGTACTGTTCCTAACCATTATTTGTTAGGCTAGAATTCAGTCAAAAGATATTCCATGTTTTTATCTGTAGAATATGCATGACCTTGTCCTATTGTTTCAGCCTCCAATTGGGGAGAAAAGAGTACAAGAACTTGGAAAATGGGTGAGACAGGAATTTCACATTTCTGGGAGCAGTTGGGATTCAAGCTCAGTGGATATTGCTGCAGCTGGTCTGGGGTGGTTTGCTATTGGACTGAAAGGAGAGGCAGTCCTAGGCGTTTGGACATATGAAGGAGTTGATGTTGTTCTTCGCAATTCTTTAATTCCTTTTCGATCGCAGGTTTTTGAAGTTGCAGGATTTACTGTCTCAAAAATTGTCTCTAAGGCTGACCAAGCTCTGAATAAATCGCAGAAGAGCAAAAGTGAAAACAAGAGAAAAAGAAGTGACCATAACATATCTATAGCTAACAAATCATTAACAATTGTTGAAGGAGGAAAATGTGCAAGCTAATATCAAGTTGCTGACAGCTAAATGGGCGATGTGAAAATTTGAAGAGGAAGAAAAAGCACTCATCATACGTAGATCATAGATCTTAAATTTTGTTAACCAACTTTTCCTTCTAAAATTGCAGGATTTAGTGTAGTATTTGAGGCGTATACGGAATAATATGAATATGCGAAAGCTATCAGTTTTGAAAGTTATTCTGTTATATTAATTACTGTATTTGGACTACTTACACAGTGAAATGATTGTGCATTTTGGCATATTAAAATAGCAAAATTTATAGGAGTCTTGACATTCTCTCTTAATTATAAATTCCATTTCTTTTATGTTAAAACATTTATTTATTATTAGATTCGTGCTAAATGGCCCTACTTGGCCTTACACGATTTTTACTACAGTTCATAATGCCTCCACATGTTTGCTGCGGCGCATTTTGCCCGCCCGCAATATACATGTTAAACATTATGCCAATCCAAAGTAAGCTGTTATTACAAGTAGGCATTCACCGCGCAACACAGAACTCAAAAATTCTGTATGGACACAGAAACTTTCTTCACATGTTTTTTGTACATGTTAACTTCCTCTACAGGTCATAAGATTATATATTATTTTTCTTTTTTAAATTTTCTTTTTTCAAGCTTTTAGAAAATCTCTTTTCCCCTAAAATGCAATGAACTTTTCTAAGATCATTTTTTTTTTTTCATAACACTAAATTAATATGAGATATTTCTATTGATTGCAACTGAAAGTGAATGATTAAAAAATGAGTTTAATATAGTATTTGAAATTATTTTAAAAACAATAAATAACAGTTTAAACATAATTATTTTTATAAAAATTTATAAACGATCTTAATATACATTAAAAAAATTTATAGTATGGGGCATATAATTAATAATTAATTCTAATATGATTACTAAGTTTTGAAGTTATATTTTTTTAAGTAATTGATTGTCTTTTATGAATTTTACAATAAAATTTTAAAAAGCACAAATATTATATTTCGAAATTAAAAATTAAGGTGAGTCTATAAATTCGATTATCATTATATTTTAAATTTGTATTAGGACAATGCAATTATTATTGCTGTGGTCGATTAATCCTATTACTGTTTTGAAATCTAATAGATCACAAACTTTTGTTATATAGAGTCAAACTTATAATAGATAAATAAAAGCCAACTAAGTGGTGGTTTGGTTGGTCTTCTCACTTATGTGAGAGGTGGAAGGTTATGAGTTTGAGTCCTTTTGACCACAATTGTTATCACTAATTTGATGAGCTATGGGAGGTCTCAAGTTGGTGTGCTACCTATGTGTAATCCGTAATATTATTTCGGTCCATAAAAGTCTCCAATAAATTAAAAAAATTAAGTTTGAATTGTTTTTCACAAATAAAATTCAAATTAAACAATAACAAATTCATTAACTATAAAATGATTTTAGCGAAAAAAAGTTGAGTTATGGATATATAATAACGAATAATGTAGAAGTATATAAAAAGTAAATTATGAATATATTATGATTAGCAACACAATAAACTTAAAATATTATTTATATAACGATTAAATATATTCTATCTGTCTCATTTTATTTGCTTATTCTTTTTTTGGATGTCCCAAAATGTTTGCTAGCCTTCTAAATTTATATATGTGGATAATTATTTTTCTCATGATAACATTTATAATACTTTATTAAATGAAAAACTTTTATTAATATTTTAATAAGCTAAGAGTAAAAAAGAACAAAATAACTTATGTTGACTAAATTTTTAATATGTGTATTTTGTCAGACTATACAAACAAAACGGGATGGAGGGAATATTTTTTTATTATTTCATTTTAGAAGGTAAATATTAGCTCAATAATTTTTTAAATTTAATATCATAATTATTTATGAAAAAGTTTTTGATATTTTCTTATTGTCGATTTCTCATCTTTTAGTCTTTTATTATAATAATAAACTAGTCATTTGTGCCGGTTAATACTTATAAATAATTGGTACCAATTATTTTTGATTGAAAAATATAAATAAATTAATATGAAAAAAAAAAATATTTGTCATTCACCCTTTTTTATTCTTTGATTATTATAACAAACACTACTAATCCACTTTTTCTATGAATTTAAAAATGATAAAAGAATTCTACACGCTAATAAATTAAAAACAACAAATTCACCTTCTAAGCTAAACTAAAAAAAAAAAAAAAAATATTGTCTTGATTATTATAACAAACACTTTACTTAATCCACTTTTCTATGAATTTAAAAAATATAAAAAGGAATTTTCTACACCTGCTAAATAAATTAAAAACAACAAATTATCACCTTCTAAGCTAAACTAAAAAAAAAAAAAAAAAAAAAAAAAAAACATAAACATTATTTTTATAAATTAAAACAATTACTCAAATTATAAATTTATCTGAATGGAAAATGAAAGAAACTTATAGCCTGTTTGGAACAAATGAAAAATGGTTGTAGAATTCATTTGCAAATGAATTCGAAGTAAAATTCATTTGCAATGAATTTGTCATGTTTAGTATGCTATAATTTAAAATAAGAAATTCAATTGAATTCTAAAAAATTATGTTTGGAATAAATTCTTAAATAAAAATTCATTTGTCTTTATTTCTTAAAACACCATTGACATAATAATTTAACAAAAATAAATAAGAAACACCAATTATATTTATCATGTGCAATATAATAACTTGTCATTTTTTTTATTAAAATCATTTTTTTTTTATAAAATATAAATAAATGATTTCCATATAATAAATATAGCTAAAGCAGTAATATTCATCATAATAATTATTTATAATAATTATTTTTAATTGATGTAAAAAATTTTATTGATTTAAATAATTAATTTGAAAACTAAAAAATATTAAAAATATTAGTATTTGTTTTTAATGGCATTTGAAAATAATTATTGATAATCAGTTTTTATAGTTTCATAATAATAATAAATAACGTGATTAATTGAAACAACCCGAATTTTTATTTTCAAAGATTTTTCATTTAAATTTAATAAATCGATAGCCTGGAAATTTATATTAATTTTTTTAGTGTGAATACTGTGAGAAACCGAACAGAAACCGACCGAAAACCAATTGAAAAAAAGCCGAAAAACCAGTTGGAAATCGAAGATTTTGGGCTGATGTCGGAACCGGAAATCACTGAACCAGCCAAACCATCTAGAAACACCTCCTCCCCTTTAATGATTTTTTTTTTCAACGCTCATCTCCCTCACCTCACATCAGTTCTCCCTCACTCACTCAGTCTTGCGCCTCCTGACCACCCATGCAGCACCACCGACACTGCCACCGCCGTCTCCTCCTCCTCTCTTCTTCTTCTTCTTCTTCTTCTTTTTTCTTTCTTTCTTTTCTTTTCTTTCTTTCCCTTTCTTCTTCTCTGTGACTGCGTCTGCCTCGTGCCCCAACAGCTCCAGCAGAAACGCGAGCCACCATCACGAGCTCAGCCACGTCGCGCCACCTCGCCGTTGCTCCACGCTGCAGTAGCTCCGCCATCGCCGGCGCCTCTCTCCGTTCAAGCCAAGCAGGGACAGAAGGTTGCTCCTCCGATCTGTCTAGGTGAGCGTTGATCCAGCAAGTCTCCGGCCACCAGGAAAGATCCATCGAGTCGCCAGCAATTCCTTCGCTAGATCACGCCACCGCTGCAACTCAGTCCCGTTTACGCGTTGGTCTCAGGTGGTCTAGCCACTCCGATCTGATTCCGGCCACCCATTTGCAGTCCCAGTGCGTGTAGCTTCGATCCGGCACGCGTAGTTTTCGTCACCGATCAAATAAACTCCGGCAAGAATATAATTGGGTATAAATTAATTTTTATTAATTAATTTTTATTAATTCTCAGAAATTAATTAATTTTTAGTAATTTTAGTTAATTAATTTGATTTTAGTAATCTCGGATAGTTAATTTAATTTTAGCAATTCTGACTAGAAGTAATTTAAATTAGTATTGATCTATCAATTAAAAATTACTTGATTAATTAAAATTGAATTCTAGTAATAAATAAATTGTTAGGAAATTATAACTTATGGAATTAAAGAAAAATATATGAATTAATGTTGATACGGAGAATGGATGGGATTAATTGACTGAATTGATTGCCCGCTGGATGGGCCGTGAGAATCTGATAGTTGACTGATTGAGTTAATTGGTGAATAGTTGAATTTTAGGGGAAATGCTGCCGAAATTTCGGTAAAAAATAAAATTAATTATAGCAATTAAATTACTTATAGAGATTAAATTGTTTATAGAAATTAAAAATATAGAATAAGATTATTAGAGTGATAAATAAAGAGTGATAAATAAAGTAAGGAAACGCCCAATATAATAATCTATAAATATATAAGGTTTAAATTAATAAGTGAATTAAATGAAACGGCGGTTAACCAAAACAGTAAAACGAATATAAAATAGAATCTCAATTAAAATTCTACTTAGAATTATTATTGTTTATTTAGAGGGTTTATAAAATTCCGAAATGCAAGGAACAAAGACCTTCTCGAAGCGACGTGGCTAGAAAGGCAGTCCCTTAGAGGACAATAAAGAACTCTGTGAGTAGTGTTTAGATAATTCGCATCATCCCGCCTGCATGATCATGCATTCACAGGCTAAATGTTATCAATGCATTATGGCCCATATTGTGTGGCAACTATTTGTTGACTATTAAGATATTGGTTGAATTACTTGTGATGTGAATATGTTGTTGCCTTGTTGTGTGGAATTGGGATGAAGTGGGTCCACCATTGGGTTTGTGGAAGACCTGTTTCTGGTTAATACGGATCCTGATTCTGATTTCTAATTATATTCTGTTTACCTTGCTATATGGATCCTTGATTTTGAATTACTGTACCACCATATTCCCTGTTATAGGTTCTGTTACTGATAATTTTTTGATTATTTGGGTACCACATATTCTGTTTATTGAAGGTTCTGTTATGATAATATCCTGATTACCGGTACCAACGTAATCTGTTAACTGAGGTTCTGTTACTGAGAATTTTCTGATTAACTGGTACCACATACATAATTCTGTTTATTGAGTTCTGTTCTGATAATCTGAATTACACGTCGACACGGTACAACATATTCCTGGGGTTATTGAAGGTTCTGTTACTGAGAATTCTGACCTATATGGGTACCACATATTCGTTATTGAAGTTCTGTTACTGAAACATTCCTGAATTTCTAGGGTACCACATTTCTGTTACTCTGAAAATTTGACTATTGATACCCATATAATTCTGTAAGGCTTTTCCTCGTCAGGGGGGACTTCGGCGTTTC